TTGTTGTTGTTTTTTTGTCAATCCCTTCCTGAAACTCATATAGATTCATTACACTTATATTGAAATATTTCAAGCCTTTATTTCTTGTTGTTTTGATGATTATGGCTTACAAATAATGGAAAAAAAAAAAAAATTCAGTGTCTCAGAAAATTAGAAAACTGTGAAGAGTTTCAATATTAAACGCTCCTGGTGTCTCACCCTAATCAGCTGATTAACTCTTAGACATGAGCTACAAATGTCTCATTCCTCAAGTCAAGCCTCAACCAGAGACAATGTCAGAAGCGTCTTACCTGCTGAGGAGACAAAGAACTGGACTGTTGCTCAGTGGTCCAATGTCCTCTTTTTAGATTGATGTAAGTTTTCATGTAATTTGGAAATTAAGGTCCTGGAGAGGCCCAGAATCCACGTTGCTTGAAGTCCAGTGTGGAGCTTCCACAGTCAGTGATGGTTTGGTGCCATGTCCTCTGCTGGTGTTGGTCCACTGTGTTTTCTGAAGTCCAGTCAACGCAGCATCTACCAGGACATTTTAGAGACTTCATGCTTCCTTCTGCTGATGAGCTTTACGGAGATGCTGATTTCATTTTCCAGCAGGACTTGGCTCCTGTCCACACTGTCAAAGCTACCAAAAACTGGCTGTGGAATATTATAATTTTCTGAGACACTGCATTTTGTTTTTCATTATCTGTAAGCCATAATCATCAAAATTACAAAAAAGAAAGGCTTGACATATTTCACTCTGTGTAATGAATCTATGTAATGTTTCACTTGCTGAAATGACTGACAAAAGCATTAACGCTCACAATAATCTATTTTTTTTTAAGTTGTACTTGTAAACAATGTGAACATCTAAATAAAAGTCTGCAGTGCTAAATAAATGGTTTAAACAATAACACTTTCTCAACATTGGCTAGTTCTTTGCTGTTTTCAGGACAATCCTCTCATTTCTGTTTTTAAGTTCAAATGAACTCATGAAGTGAGAAATGTTTCATGGTCTGCCACTCCAACTTGTATGTCAAAATTAGGATTTAATCTGCTCATGCCTTGTCTTAACTCATAGACAAGGTGTTTGATTTGTTAATTTACATGCAACAATAAAGGATAAATAGTTATTTCTGACTGTACTGCCATGGTGGTTACATGGTTACATGGCAGTATTCTATAGTACCTATTCTTGCACGTAAACAGATGAAAATAATCAGAAGGATCAACATGTGGTCTTTTCCTCTAACTCACATGAAACTCTGAAATTTATTTTTTCATTCAAGCTTTATTTTTACAGTCTAGTCGCATTGAGCCACAAGGACTCATTTACAAGAGGGACCTGTTCCAGACAGAACATATAAAGTACAGACAACAATACCAATAAGAAATAACAATAAGCTACAGTAAAAATGCAGTTAAAATGAAAGTAGTGTAATAAAAGAATAAATCAGGGTGCCGTAAAACAAGGTAAAATATTAAAAACGGGAACACATTTGCTTTGATGTTTCAATTGACCTTATTAAATGTTTAAAACCCCTTAAAGAAATCAAGGAGGACAACTTTAGTTCTTGTTGCAAGGTGTTCCAGTTTGCAGGAGCTGAGTAGGAAAAGGCCTTTTCGCTAAGTTCAGTCCGCACTGAGGGAACGCTGCAGGTAATGATGGTCTGAGAGCAAACGCTACAACTGCACTGACGACGTGACATGGGGAAGGAAATATAAGAAGGTAGCAGACCAAGGAGGGATTTATAGATGAAAATGAACCAGTGTGAGAGCCGACGTGTAGATGATGACGACCAACTGACCAATGAGGACAGAGTACAGTGATGGGTACGATAGTTACAACCAGTTATGAATCTTAGCACGCCATGGTAGAGAGCATCCAACATCTGCAGGGACATTCAGCCAATGGCCAGTAGGAAGGTAGCATTTACAAGGGGTTTTCTGGCATTCAGATTTATCCATCATAATAAAATATAATAAATAAATTATAATAAATAAATTATAAATCATATAAATATATATATATATATTTATAAAAATATATAATTATAGTGATGAATAAATTATTATAATATCTTATATTAAATAAATAGTAATAAATAAATACCTATATATGTTATACCTAC